TCCTGCCTTCTCTCAGACCTTCTGCTTCTGAGTTGAGCAATGAGTGTTCAAGTGATGAGTGTCACACTCCTGTTGACCTTTTCCAAATAGTGGGCCACCATTGTCAAATCTTGCTCATTATGTCCTTCTCGGGCAGAATGGCTGAAATAGAAGCCCATTGACTTGGGGTAGTGTATGCTAGCTGCTTCAAAAGCCAAACTCCTAAAATCTCAGCTTTTTCAGAGAGTGATGGCTTATTTCATGCTCATGTAACATCTCATATGAGTTGGGGGGCCTTCCTGCATCTTGTACCTTTGCCATATGTTTCATCTGAACTCCCAAGTTCTCCTCTGCAGAGCATGTGAAGGATGGAAAAGAAGTATTGATCTGAACTCACTAGAATAGGCAGGCATTCCACTTTTACTCATAGTCCTATGCTAGATGGTCATGTGAGTCCAACCTAAATGAAAGGAAGCTGGGAATTGTTAGAGGAATACATGGAATACTCACTATGCACTAATCATCTGTGGCACACTCATAATATTGGGTATGTTTCATGCAATTTCACAGTGGAAGACCAGAACAATAGAAAGAGCCCTTGAATGGCAGTCCAGGGTTCCAGAGGTATTTCTGCCACTAGGTAACCCTCCTCCATACTTCAGGGTCCTCATCTGTAGAAGATAACAAAGGGTTGCATGACCAATGTTCTTTCCAGGTCAAAAAGATATAGTTCTATGGGAAGCATGTGGCTCATCTCTCAGCATTTCACCAAAGATTCCATATCTAGAAAGCCTTAATGGGAGTCTTAGGGGAGACTAGAAAAGAGGAAAATGCTCCCTCAGAAACCTACCTATGGACTGGCCTGCTGTTGATTCCTCAGGGGCCCAGGTTCCCAGCCAAAATGCCTCGCATGAAGGACTTCAAACCAGCTTACATTCAGTTCTAATGTTACAATCATAAAAAGCTCGGAGAAGAAACTGTTGTAATTTTACCTTAAAACATCTTTGTTAATGCTTCTGAATGTGATCAGCTCTGATCTCTCTCCAGTAGAATGGGGAAAATGTTCTATCTCTTATAAGGCAAGACATTTAAGAGTCCTGTCTTCTGAACTGAGCTCCCAAATTCTCTGTATTTTTTAAGGCACTGGAAGACTGTTTGTCAGACCTCCTGGAGAAAGCCTCAGCCCCTGTTTCTGCAGTGCTGGAAGGTACATTGCTTGGGGAGGGATGTATTCCATGTGTGGACCTAGCTGGCGGAGACTCAGCCAGCATCTGCATTTGGTCTGGACCATTTGCTTAGGAAGAAAATTATGATTCATGCAGAAAGCCTATAAAGCTAGAGAATATGGGGCCTATAGGAAACAAAAGGGGGTGATATGTTGGGGGTGATTATTCTAGTCTTCTTTGTCAAAATGAGACAATCCCTGAAAAATTCATGGGAACTTTCCTTTTGAAAGCTCAGATGCTATCTCTGTGTCTTCTGGGAACTATCCCCTGTGGCTTTGTGAACTAGCCTCCCTGTCTCTTCTTTACAGTGGGAAGTGGAAATGCCTGTCTCAAATTGACGTGCTCTAAAGACACTAGAGTTCCAGTCTTGCTCTGGACTCACCTTCTGACGCCTGGATCTGAGGCTATGTTGTCACTCTAGAAAGCCATCCAGCGTTTCTCATCCACAATCTATTTTGTCATCAGGGCAGGTCAGATGGAAATTTATTCTACATGGAAACCTCAGATTATTTGCCTTTCCTCTAACCAATAAGCCCTTTCTCTCTCACTGTCCTGACCCAACTACCATCCTCCCCTCCTCTCGGAACCATGCTGTCCCCACTCCCTCCCTACGTGTTTCAATAAAACAGTTGTTTTCAATTACATTCCACAGCTTGGGCGAGCATTTCTGAAAGCAGCTTCCTAGTTTTCAATTGACCGTGGCAACAGCAGCCTCAGAGAAGAAAACTCTTTCCAGGAAAAATGCAAACTTCATTTACTCAGAAAGTAATTTGAGGCTTCTTTTTCCATTGCAGAACAACAAAAATCACTGGGGGCTTTCCTGTGCTCATCGGGAGAGGCTTCTCGGCAAAGCACTCTATGGAGAAGTAAGTCCATCGGGGTAGGATCAAGAGGCCATAACATCGACTTGTGGCCTCTGGAGCTGGGCAGAAACCCAAGAAAAGCAGGAGCAAAAGCCCAGGTCTTTCACTGTGGGAGAGTATGTGAAATGCAGTCCAAAACGAGGCCTTACAAGGTCTGCAAAACTAAGCTGCTTCTTCATCCATGACATGAAAAGCTTGGAACTGCCTGCCCTGAGTGCTGATAGCTAGGAGACAATGAGAAGAAGGCAAGATGAAGGGACGAAGGAGAATGATGATATAAGTCAGGAAAGGGGGTCGAGGCCAGGCTCAACCACAAACCATCTGACTTTGTGCTCGAGAATTTTCTTGTGTTTCTATGAGATCCATTTTCCACCCTCTCCACCCTGCTGTCTTGAGAGGCTGCTCCCCAAGGGCTGAATCAAGAGCAACCAGGCCCTCTGGCTTCTGGTTGGGGTCAGTGGATGGAAGCCCCTGGAAGGAGATCAGAGGGAGGAGGTGGACTGGGCATTGATTCTCCAGCTTCCTCCCCCTACTCTAGAAGATTGTCCACTTCTATCCCCTGGAGGCCACAGCCAGACTGCCATGTGTTCTCCAACTCCTGGAACCACTCTTTTCTTTTGTCCTTTCTGTCTGTGGGGTAGAGATGGTTCCCTAAGGCTGCAAGCTCTGGGGATATGGAGCCATACTTGTTATTTTTTCTGAATCCTGCCCACGTCTCTGTAGAGTCCATGATGAGATAGATGGTAGTTTGGTGTCCCTTCTGGGACCCTGAAGGCTCTATCACCCAATTCAGCTTTATGATGCTTTTGGGCATAGGGACTCTGCATCTCCCAGGGTCCCTCCATATTCTCTCAGGGAAGAGAAGGTTGTATGAAAGCAGTGACTTTTCATTCTTCAACTTGAAAACTGAGATCAAGAGAAGTAAATCATTTATGGGTTCTGCCTGCCTTAAACTGTGTTCTGGAAGCCACCAGAAGGAGGGTGAGGAAGGGGAGAGTGACAGGATAACCCCCCATGCTTCAATGACAGTAGCTCTGTTTTATCTACTTAAGAAAATTTACTGAGGTGCCGACATGGCTCAGTTGATTAAGGGTCTGCCTTCAGCTTGAGTCATGATCTCGGGGTCCTGAGATCAAGCCCTGCAAGGGAGAGGAGGGGTGGTCTCGGCTCAGCAGGGAGTTTGCTTCTCTCCCTCCCTTTGCCTTACCCATCCCACCCCCTGCTTGTGTTCTTTCTCTCAAATAAATAAATAAAACCTTAAAAAAATTTCAGCAGAAACTCCAAAGTATTAGAGAATGGAGATGATTGCCAGAGAGTACAGTGTGTTAAGCAGAAAAGCTGGTGTGTAGACTGGAAATGAATGTAAGCCTGGTGCCATTTTAGCTGAAGAACCCGTGTTCTGGGAAGAGCTGAAGGCAAGTGCAGTGGGAGCATTTTGCATCGCCTGCCTGCCACATTCCTCCTTTTAGAATGGACTAGTTCTTGGAGCGCTGATGCAGAGGCGGCTGCTGATGGCAACCCCACCCCATCACAGCCACAGCTAACTGCATTCCAGCAGACACCTGGCCCAGGAGCAATGCATCCATAGGCTAGGCTGAGAAAACAAGTTTCTTCCTCTTGAGAATTGGAGCCAGGTAACCCCCAGTTGTCATCAAATGATGTTATGCCATACAGCAACAGTCACGCGGCACGGGCAGCAGGGAGAGACTTAGGCTTTCTAGAGGCTTTGGCTATTTGAAGCCATGAGGAAAGTAAAACTAAGTGCTTTGCGGCAGAAGCCAGTTCATTGCTGATATAACAGAGCAGACCGCAGAGAACATCTTTCTTGTTTTCTCCATGTGGTCTCTTGTCTCGGCTTCTAATATCTGTGCAAACTCTGTCATGCTGGCTATTCTTCCCTGCCATTGGACTCTAAGAAATTTTCCCCAAAATTTACTAACAAATGCTCTATTGTTGTGCTTGATTGAGAAATGAATAAATACATAGATGGAGGAGAAAGGATGAATCTTCCTTACAGAAGAATTCCACATAATATATGAAGATCTTCCTCCTTCAGTCAATAGAACTTAACTTCCCTCCTCTTAAGTGTGGGCTGCACTTGGTGACTCCCTTCTAACAAATAGAATAAAAAGAGGAAAAATAGGGATACCTGGGTGGCTCAGTGGTTGAGCATCTGCCTTCGGCCCAGAGCATGATCCCACAGTCCCCGGATCGAGTCCCACGTTGGGCTCCCTGCATGGAGCCTGCTTCTCCCTCTGCCTGTGTCTCTGCCTCTCTCTCTGTGTCTCTCATATGAATAAATAAATAAATAAAATCTTAAAAAAAAGGAGGAAAAATAATGACTCTAGAGTGGAGAAACCTGGCAGATGACACTATAACCACTGATCAAGGTGAATATCTCCAGTGACAAGTCACGTAGATTTAATGCACCCTCTGATAGTGACCCCTTGAAGGGAAAAGACACTTCACTTCTGTGGTATTTTTGCTTTGAAATTCCTAACTCCTGTCAAAAAAATGAAAAAAAAATACCCAATAAGTCCAACTAGAGGGACATTCGATAAATAACTGATCAGTCCTCTTAGAAAACAAAGAAAGACTATAAGCCATTGTCACAGATGAGGGGAGACAGAAAAGACATGACAACCAATGGCAAAGTGATATCCTGATTTGTATCCTGGAAAAATTGAAAGGAGACATTAGTGGAAAAGCTGGTGAAATCCAAATGAAGTATGTAGCTTAGATAATAATGCCACACCCAATGGTATTTCTTAATTTTGATAAATGTATCACAGTTATATAAGATATTAACATAAGGAGAAGCGGGATGAGGGTACATGAGGACTCTCTGTACTATCTCTGTAACTTTTTTTGAAAATTTATAATTATTTAAGGAAAAATAAAAAGACAACTGAGAAGTTCACTGAATCTCCAGGAGCACCAGAGGACCAGTTATGGTGGCTACAGAGCCAGGAACTGTTGCCAGACCCACAGTGTTTGGCCCAAAGAACTGGACCAACAAAGACTATGTAGCCCATGCTGGGCGCAGACACTACAGGCTTCACCACCAACACCACAAACTGGGCCCTTATCTGTCATCGCTGCCTTCGAAACTAGATGTCACTTCTGCTACCATCATGTGTCACAGTGTGTTAAGCAGGAAAGCTGGTGAACTTGGGACAGCCCCTGCTTCCTCCCAGTGGTGGCTATGTTTGCACACTAGCTGCAGGAAGGTTGGGACTTGAGTATCTGACATTTCAGCTTCTGTATCTGGAAGAGAGAGCTCTACCTCAAAAAATAGGAGATTTCCCAGTCATAAGTATGCTTAGCAGCCAGAAAGAAGGATAAATGTCCATTAAGGGACTGAGATCTTCTAACTGGAGTGATCAGACAAGGCCTTTTGGATGAAGAAGAAGGTAGACAGGCAGTATTGTAGTGAAATCAGATTTGGAATAAAATTAAACGCATTCAGCACTCAGCCCTGTAGTGGAGGTGAGATTCTGATAAACAGAAATTCATCATTCTCACAAAAAAGTTATGTTGAACAAACAGTACATGAAGTATAAGAAGAAAACAACTTTATTTTTGTCTTCCACTGACCCTTTCAATTAACTATGCGGGTCCGTGCCTACTATGTTTTCAGTCAGGTAGGGGAAGTTCTCAAGAATTTTCTAGTCACTGTTGGGTCATACACACAATTCTAGGGTCATTTCAAGTCACAAATTACAATTTCAGTTTAGCATTAAAATGTCAGCCTTATATATTAGTCAAAATTTCAAATTTGCTTCTAAGTTGAGCCTTCTTCCCCTCCTCTGATTTGGGCCTCAAGTCAAGGAAGAAAAGGGTAGCTCTTCTCTCACATCTCTTCTTCTGACTAATCATGTTTCAGCCTCTCCAGGAAACGTTCCTACTTACCTGTAAAGTTAGAATTTGTAATCTCTGTTTTTGCACAAGCTTAAAGTGACTTTTCTCATGAGCTTTGACATGGCTCTTCAAAGATTTTTGGAGATCTCTCTTTTTTTTTAAATTTTTATTTATTTATGATAGTCACACACACACACACACACACAGAGAGAGAGAGAGAGAGAGAGAGAGAGAGAGGCAGAGACACAGGCAGAGGGATAAGCAGGCTCCATGCACCGGGAGCCCGACGTGGGATTTGAGCCCGGGTCTCCAGGATCGCGCTCTGGGCCAAAGGTAGGTGCTAAACCACTGCGCCACCCAGGGATCCCGATTTTTGGAGATCTCTTAACTGCAATTCCTTGGCAGGGCAAAATGCAAGTGTTCTCTGGCTGGTCACTTCCTTTCCCCCCTCATTTTCTAGAAATCTAGGAGTTCCTCAGCTTCTCTCTCTGCTTAAGTCTTAAGTCTCTAGGCCACCCTCTTGATTGGCCCTAAGATGACCTTATGCCAGCTTGCTCTCTGGATCCACTTCTAGTCACTCATGTATTGACCTGACAGACTCTGGAAGGGCTCACCTCCCTCCTGTCATGGGTACCTCTTCATTGTATCATCAAAACAACTGTTTCATTGAATCTCCAGGAACAACTCACACTTTAGACTATTCTGTGCTCCTCAGGTGCAGGGAACATATATTAAGCTCAATGTAGATCTCTTGAAGCCCCTTTCCCTAAGCTTAAGTTAAAAGTTCAGACACTTCCATCCCTTTTCTTAAAGGAAGAAAAGGGGTAGGACTCATGACAAAAACAAAACAAAACAACACACAAAAACAAACAAACAAAACAACAGCTCTAAAATTCTTCTTTACCTGTTTCCAATTCCTGACTCTTCCACCGAGAATGTAGAGGAGGAGTTTAAGAGTCATCTGGCCTGTTTTCTGTCATTTCTTCTGAAAATATTTTAGCATAGCAAAGCCTTTTACATCCAGCTGTGGCATCTCTTGACTTGGTGTTTTTGTCAAATCTTCCCTTTTAACATCCTGTGATGCTTGGATATCCATCTTCAAAGCAAACAAAGCTTGTATGATCCCTCCGGCTCTTCCCACTTGCTGGAACGACCTAAACTTCAACAATCATCTGGGGTGAGCTGGGATAGGGCCCGCAGCAGACATAGCCTCCTAAGGTGGAACAATGCATGGTCAACTTCTCCAGTATAGTTCTAGTGGATTTTCCTGTCCCAGAGGCCTACTCAAATGCCAGTTATCTTTCCAAATATGATCTGTGCACAAAACCAAGATGAAATATTTCTGCTTCTCTTTACAGGTTCAAACATTTCAAATGCCCCAACTCATTCTACTTCCATTCCACAATAAAGCCAACCTTCCTAGGGTACCTGGTTGGTTCAGTCGGTTAAGCATCTGCCTTCAGGTCAGGTCATGATCCCAAGGTCCTGGGATTGAGTCCTGTACCAGGCTCCTTATTCAGTGGGGAATCTGCTTTTCCCTCTCCCCTTACCCCTCCTCCAGCTTGTGCTCTCTCTCACTCCCCTCTCTTTCAAATAAATAAATAAAATCTTAAAAAAAAAAAACCTTCTCAGATAAAACTTGTTTGACTTCCATTCAATATACATTCTTCTGTTTGAGCTCATTCCCCTGAAATGAGAAGCTTATAACAAGAGTGCTAACAGAATGCAAAATCTTGAAAAAACATTAGCCAACTGAATCCAGCAATATATATAAAAGATTATATACTATGACCAAGCAAGATTGGTTGGTTAAATATCTAAAAAAAAAAAAATCAATTAATATATCATACCAGTAGAATAAAGTACAGAACCACATGATCATCTCAATAGATTCAGGAAAAAAATGTGACAAAACTCAATTCCTTTCCTGATGAAAACACTCAACAAACAAAGAACAGAAGGAGATGTCCTTAACCTGATAAAAGGCATCAACAAAAAAACCTACAATTAGCAATAACCTAATGACAAGACAGTGAAGCTTTCTCCCTAAGATCAAGAACAAGACAAGGAAGTCCATTCTCACCACTCCTATTCAACATTGTACTGGAGATTCTAGCAAGGGTAATTAGGAAAGAAAATGAAATAAAAAGGATCTAGTTTAGAAAGGAGGAAATAAAACTATCTGTATTTGCAACTGAAATAATCTTGTATATAGAAAATCCTGAAGAATCCACTAAGAAACAAAATAAAAATGCTGCTACAAACTTGCAGGTTACAAAATCAATATACAAAGATCAGTCGTATTTCTGTACGCTAGCAGTAAACAAAACAAATATTAAGAAAATAATTCAATTTACAATAGCATCACCAAGAACAAAATATTTAGAAATAAATTTAACAAAAGAAGTGCACGACTTGTACACTGAAAACAACAAAACATTATTAGGGGAAAAATTTTAAAAAGACCTAAATAAATGAAAAGACATCCCATATTCATGGACCAGAAGACTCACCATTACTCAGCCATAAAATGAACAAAATCTCATCATTTGCAATGACATAGATGGACCTAGGGGGTATAATGCTAAATGAAATAAGTCAGTCAGAGAAAGACAAATGCCATGTAATTTCCCTCATATGTGGAATTTAAGAAACAAAACAAATGAAGAAAGGAAAAAAGAGACAAACCAAAAAATAGACTCTAAAATACAGAGAACAAACTGATGGTTGCCAGATGGAAGGTAGGTGAAATAGCTGATGGGAATTAAAGAATAGCATATCATGATGAGCACTGAGTAATGTATAGAATTGTTGAATCACAGTATCATACACCTGAAACTAATATAACACTGTATGTTAACATACTGAAAATAAATAAATGAATGAATAATTTTTTAGAAAAGATACAGTAGTCCTCAAATTTATCTACAGATTCAATGCAATCTCTTTCAAAATCTTTGCTGCCTTCCTTGCAGAAATTGATAAGCTGATTTTAAAGTTTGTATGGAAATTAAAGGAGCCCAGAACAGTCAAAGCCATCTTGAGAAAGAAGAACAAGGCTGGAGAACTCATTTCCCAATTTCAAAAGTTACTGCAAAGTTACAGTAATCAAAATAAAGTGGTACTGGTTTGACTGTGTGTGTGAGTGTGTGTATATATATATATATATATACACACACACACATATATATTATATGTAATATATATATAACATATATGTGATATATGATACATATATAGATAATCAATGGAATAGAATTGACAGCACAGAAATAATTTCTCACATTTATGGTCAACTCATTTTTGATACAGGAGTAAAGACAATTAAATGGGAGAAAGAACAGTCTTTTGAACAAACAGTCTTGGGACAACTAATGAGCCACACACAATAGAATGATCTTGGGCTCCTACTTCATACCATAGACACCATATATTAAAATTAACTTAAAATGAATCAAAGAGAGAATTTTAAGACCTAAAGCTATAAAGTCTTAAAAGAAAGTGGAGACCTACATTTTTATGACTTTGGATTAGGAGTTGGTTTCTTAGATACAAGACCAAAAATACAAGTAACAAGAGAAAAAAATAGATAGACATCACAATTAAAATGGTCTGTGTTTTATAGGACATCAACAAAAAAGTGAAAGGACAACCCACAAAATGGGAGAAAAATTTTGAGTATCATATCTGACAAGGATTACTATCCATGACATGTAAATAACTCTTACAGCAAATAACTCAATTTTTAAGATGGACAAAGGATCTCAATAGATGTTTCCTTTCACTCATATGAATAATGTAAGAAATAGTGAAAGGGACCATAAAGGAAAGGGGGAACTGAGTGAGGAAAAATTAGAGAGCAAGACAAACCATGAGAGACCTCTGACTCTGGGAAACAAACAAAGGGTTGTAGAAACGGAGGTGGGTGGGGGGATGGGGTAACTGGGTGACAGGCATTAAGCAGAGCAGGTGATGTGATGACCTTCAGATGACATTCAGTATAACTGAATGTTATACTATATGTTGGCAAATTGAATTTAAATTTAAAAAATAGACATTTCTTTAAAGAAGATGTACAAATGGCCATGTACATGATTGCACAGCTCCATGAAAATACTAAAAACTATTGAATTGTACATCCTGAGTGGATTATTTGGTATGTAAATAGTATTTCAATAAAGCCTTACCAAAACAAGCGCTGAGGTAGTCTTTACTTTGAGGAGCCATGAGCAGTGCTGAAATGAAATGCAGAAGACCATTTCTCAAATATTACAAAATGCAGTAAATTTGGTCTTGCTAAAAGTTGTGGTTAATGAGTTATTGTTTTTTAAACCCAGCACAACCAGCAGAGAACCTACAATGAAGCATGAGATTTTTAACTAGACGGTGGTTTGGTAAAGCCCTGGCTCCTCTTTGGTTGATCCCAAAACAGCCTCGGGTTAGGGTCTGCCACTACTACAAGGCCTCCTGGCTCCCAGCAGACAGCAGTGTCCCAGTAGACCTGGGCTGTGTGACCAAAGGGATCCCACTGGGTGCAGGCCTCAAGGTAAGTAACCCAGAATTAACTATTCCTAAGGGTCCTGCAAGAACCATGAGGCAGTGGACCCCTAGCAGCAGGGCTCATAGTCCCAGGGCACATGATACAAGGAGAATTAGATTTTAGCCTATTGTCCTAGCCTGGGTTTCCTTAACAGCAAAGGCTCATCTGTGAGTGGGAACAAGAGCGAGGGTTAATACATAGGGAGGAAGAATGTCCACACACCCATGTGATTTGTCTTGATTTGTCTTTAATCTTTAGGACATTCTGAGAAGCCTCACAGAATGCATCTTAGAACTGTTTACCCCTGGGTTGAAAAAAAGAAGTATTTATTCCTCAGCTTCTCTTTGCTGCTGGGTAAGGGCAGTAAGTGGGGAAGTAACTCTCCCACTTCTGGTTCCCACAGGCATGGGGACAGAGGGACTTGGAGAACACTGTACATTCATTGGCAGCTGTACATATGCTCAGAACTGGTAGCCACAGTCGTAGCTGGAGGAAGAAGCCACGTTGAGAGAATTTGAAGCAATGCTTAAGAGATGTCTGGTGCAATCATCCACTAGGTTCTGTGACATCTCAGGATCAGCTACAGAATTAGCAGGGCCCGGTGAGGCATAAAAATGTGAGCGCTTTGTTAAAAAATTATTGGAATTTCAAGATGGTTACAGCAGAGCCTTAAGCCAAGCCCAGAGTCCTCCTGAGCCCTGTGTGGCTGCACTGGTTGCATATGCCCAGGAGCTGGCCTTGTCTGGACTCTTAAATAGCAAGTTACTCCTCATCCCCATGCCTCACCTCATCTCCCCTCACACACACAGACACACAGACACACAGACACACAGACACACACATCCCAGGGACAGCTGACCACATCTTCTGAAGAAACACCAACATCGAGGAGCTCTCTTCCCTGTCTCTCCGTCAGCTCTGGCCACGTAACTATAAGTGAAGCCTCAATGGGGGTTCGTGACTCTGCTGGTGTGTGCTGAGTCTTTCCAAGCCATGGTCAAATCTGGGCAAAGGAGAAAATTTTTCATAAAGCTGTTTATTTTTTTCCCCATAAAGTTCTTTATTATAAGACCTTGTCCTTAAGAAATGAAATTATAGTGATGGTAAATAGCACTTTTTATTTTGGTAAGGTATGATATTAATATTTTTAAGTGGTGGGATCCCTGGGTGGCGCAGCGGTTTGGCGCCTGCCTTTGGCCCAGGGCGCGATCCTGGAGACCCGGGATCGAATCCCACGTCGGGCTCCTGGTGCATGGAGCCTGCTTCTCCCTCTGCCTGTGTCTCTGCCTCTCTCTCTCTCTCTCTCTCTCTCTCTCTCTATGACTATCATAAATAAATAAAAATTAAAAAAAATATTTTTAAGTGGCAATCCTTGTCCTGGACTTAAAAAGAAAATCACTGGTCTATGAATGACTGAGAATAATGGGATGGGAGGTGGGAGAAGGGATATAGGTTTAAAATCAAAGGCCTGATTGATGTAGGGTTTTGAACCTGTTGGGACAGGAAGGGAACAAAGCAGGGTTTTTCGTCATAAGTTCAGCACCCCATATAAGATAGAGAACCATCAAAACCCCTGAGCTCCGGGCTGGCCCTTGCAAGTGTTCCTGGCATGCTCTTTCTTTCATCCATTTTCTTGCCAAAGCTCCATCCAAGGATGAAGGGGAAAGACTCCCTGCCCAGTGGAACGTGAGCATTTGGGAAGCTCCTCTAAAGAATACGTCATCTATCCTTAAATCACCCACTGAAATTCTACTACCAGTAACCTGCTGCTTTGGGTAGAAAATGAATAGCCTCGGTTTACTTAAGTGATTTAATGTACTAGTTCTTTAATTAATTAATTAATTAATTAATTAAAAGATTTACTTATTTTATTTTTTTAATTTTTTTTAGATTTATTTATTTTAGAGAGAGAAAAAGCATGAGTGGGAGAGGCAGAGAGAGAGGGACAAGCAGACTCCATTCTGAGCTTGGAGCCTGATGTAGAGCTCAATCTCACAACCCTTAGGATCATGACGTGAAGCTAAAACCAAGAGTTTGAGGCCTCAACCTGCCACTGAGGCACCCTTTAAAGAACCCATTAATTCTTTTAAAATGCATTAAAACTGTAGGTAAGACAATTTTTTTGTGGCAGTTAGTATAGTGCCTGATGCACTGAGAATATTGTACAAAGATGAAGATGAATGATGACAATGGCGATGATGATGATGATGATGATATTAACATCACTAAATCCTAACAAAACCCAAACAGGTAGGTAGGTGCTAATATTATCCCCAATTTTTGGCCGAGGAAACTGAAATTCAGAGATGCTGAATATGTTACTCAAAGCCACACCACTTAGAAGCCGAGAGCCAGGGTCCAAAGCAGAAGCAGTGTCACTGGGCCTGGTGGGGCACCTAGAGAGACAGATGGTACCAGGCGGCGCTTAGTGGGTCAGCAAGCTCCCTCATTCTCACTATACTGCTGGATGGGCAGTACTGGCTTAAAAGCGCTTCAAGTGAAAGCACAAAGCCCTTTCTTGACCTCTAGTTCTTTTTGTACATCTTTTCCTATACCATCCTCTCTCCTGGCACTCCTTGTGTGATTCTGGAAGAACCTACTAGAGGAAACAGACCAGAAAGATTCTTTCAGGATTACATCTTGCATCTTCAGTATCTAGGAGCAGTATCTAGTACTGCTCACATACAGTAGGTGCCTAATAAATATTGGCCAATTGTTATGAGAATGTAGCCTCTTCCAGGCCTCTGTCAAGCAGCCAGTGGTGTTCTTCAGCTTCCAAGCCAAAGGTTCCATCACTGAGTATGCCTCACAGTAGACTCCATGCCCACTTTCAGCCCGACATCTGTCCCTATACATGGCCAACATCGAACTCATTATTGATAACAATGCTACTGAAAGATACAAGAGGTGCGTAGCACAGTCCCATTGTCAAACTTGGGGGATATCATCTGATTTGTTCCATCACCTTCCATTACCTACATCCAACCTCCAAATGTGTCTACTACAGTCCTGGAAATCTGAAAAACCAGAGAGTAGGGATAGCACCTGTCCCACACCACCTAATTAATGAAGGACTCTAAGGAAGCGCACCAGGTGTTTGACCAGGGTCCCTGAAAGATTAGAATTTGTCAATGCCTAGAGATATGGAAAAGTGTTAGAGCCTTCACTCCCAGGTGTCCCAAGAAAGTATCCCAAGGTATACTTTCTTTTAAGCAAAAATCAGCCATTCTTCTGACATTAACCTTTGGTATCCACTTATTAATGGTCTGGCCACCTGTTAAGTGGTACTGAATTCATTATGACAGAGACTATGCAGTTGTAGCTCTGTGTATGGGAGAAAGCATTTCAAACTGATTTTCAATTCCCAAAACTTTAATTTTCAACACTAAACAAGGATTTGCCAAAGCTTGTTGTTTAGTTTTATATTTGAGCCAGCACCAAATGGTAGGCATTTTTTTTAATTGAATCCATCTGTAAATCAGAAGAATATTCTAGATGTTCTGGAAGAAAACTTTCCAAGTTCTATATTAATTACTCAACTAATTACTGAGTTTTGACATCTGGATCTCATGCTGATGATGTTCCTGCTCTAGCACGCACACTCACAATGTGCATTATCATTTCAAAGCATCAGTGTCTGTTTCATTCCAACACGGACACTAATTTTATTTGTATAAAGTTGCAGAATTAAAAGGAAAAGAGAAGGGGAAATTGGACTTTTTTGTTTGGCCAGGCTGGTAATCTGAACTTCACAGATCTTATAGTCAAAGCAAGGAAGAGGCCAACATGGTCATAGAGCCAACTATATCTGGCTCTTCCACAAAGAACAGGCATTCTCCTTGCTCAGCTAAGAAAAAACAAAATCCGCTTACTGGATGCAAAGATGTTCCTTAACCTTACCTTTCTGCGTGCAGACTCAAGTACACACTGCTTTCTGTACCTTCAGAATACTCTGCTGCTTAGAACAAGCTTAAGAATAATTTTGAGTTGCATAGTGATCAAATCAACCTTGGGTTAAGATTTTCAGTCCTCCTCCTTTCTAAAAGGGTCAAGTACGAAAACACTTAAAAGAGGCTACATATAACTCAGGAATACAGAAAGACAGGAAAAAATCACTTTAGGGAGAAGAGAAGTTTTCTTTAGTACCAGCTGTCCATAGCGTTAGAGCCAGGGATCTAATACATGGGTAGTTATTTCTAGGCCCAAGTATGCTATGCTTTCATATATTCTGTAGATTATGAAGTCTGTTTCCACAAAGAGCAGTTAAAACTGGGTTGGGACAGAAAAGCAACCTAGTGGAGCAGAAAAGGGAAAGGATGAGAAAAAATTCTTGTCCACATGGAACATATCAGAGGCATTCGACTTCTGGGGACCCTTTGACCTCAACCTCATCTTTACCTTTGTAAATATCCTGCCTCCCTTCTTTTATTGTCTCCTGATGTATTCCACCTGTTAGTACAAGGTAAAATCTTTTCCTTTATCAAGGAATATAAAGAAATGAGTCTTCCCTCCAGTTTTGTTTGTTGGATGCCAACTGCACCTGTTGTGAAAACCAAAAATGTCTTCAGACCCTGCCAAATGGCCCCCTTCCAGGGGCAATTCTTCCTTCCACCCTAGAAACACTAGCCACTGGCTTTTAGAAAATCTTTAAAATATGAAAAGGAGACATTAAAGTAGACATCCATTTGAAAGATCAAAATTCTTATTTCCCAAGTATTTCATATTTGAAGACTACTTTAGCAAATCCTATTGTAACTATATGGTGGGCTCATCCACTGATCTCTGACATAGCAGAATCTTCTCCCAGCCCCTGGAGAGATCATTAGTCATGAGAATTCCATTCCCTTTTGCCCATTTCCCCATTCTAGATTGAGACATAAAGGGGGAATGTTTGAGAAGGCCTCCCCTTATAAGATTAAAAAATAATAATAATAAATAAGATCCTCTCTAAAAAAAAGTCTTTTTGCCATATCTGTTTTTTTCCCCACTAGAGTGTCTGTCTTTGAATGTGATGGTACTGCTAGGAACATTAGCAGCCCCTCATAATCCCAAGGAACTAAGCAAAAAAAAAAAAAAAAGAAATGAAATGCACAACAGCTTGAGGAAGGTAGGGCAGAAGGAACAAAAGGGCTTCAGTCCTTGATGACATCTTCGAACCACTGAATCAGCCTTGGAATGTCCACCTCAGGCTGCTTATTAGCTGAAATAATTCAACACTTTTATTGTTTAGCCAAATCAATAGTTGGCAAACTATGATTTACAGGTCAAATGCAGGAACTAGGAATTGTTTTTTTATATTTTTAAAAGGTTGTTAAGAAACAAAGGTTGTTAAAAATAAACAGACATATGGGACCCTCAAAGTCTAAAATATTTACTATGTGGCCCTGTCTGGATAAAGTTTGCCAATCCCCAATCTAAACCATTCATAGTGAACGTCTTGTGATTTTCAACCCAAAGCACTCTTAACTAATATAAGTTCTGGTATCCTCATTTTACAACTATAGAAACTGAAGCTTGAATCTGCCAATAGTAGGCTCAACCAGAGAAGTCAAATACAAATTTGCCATTCTTTTCAATTCATTGTAAAGTTAAGCCAAATTGAGGCATCACAAAACATTTAACAGACTTTTCTATTCATTAAGGTTTCAAATCATATTTGTACTACACATGTGTTTTTGCAAATCAGAATAGACAAAGCCTCTTGAGGAAACACAATATGCTCAGTGAATGCTTTCAAAGGGAGTCAGATTGTCCTACTATCTAGAGCACCAAGGCATTTCCTGCCATGGGAAGTCAAGTCTAGAGACTCCACGGAGGAAAAGACATTACAGAAATACACAAGAAGCAAACTTGCTGATTTGATAAGTTACCTTTTCTGCTTGCTGATACAATTCCTATATTTTCTTGCTGACTCACTTAGAGAGAGTGAATCCTTACTGAAAAATATTCAAAACCTTCCTCCATTAATTCTAGCACCCAAGTTAATACTGCTGCTCCTAGTTGGACCAGCATGTTTGGTAGCACCTTGATAAAGGGTTCAAAAATTGACAAAATCTTATACTCAGAGTCAGGTTCAGAAGGAGGCAAAGTTCATTGTGGAGAGCCCATCAGATGAGTGTTGTATGAGTTACAATAAACACTCGTCCACCTCTAGCCATGGGGCCATAACTGAGCACTGAGTGACTGGCAGGGCCAGACTTTTCTCAGTTGATCCAACAAACATCTTTGCCTTTGTATCACATCCCAACATTTCTGTGCCTATCCCAGTACAGTAAGTGGTCAATCAAGGACAAGAGCACTTAGTCTACACCCAATACTGGTTGTGCTTCAGTGTTGGGTTGGTTTGTCGGCAGAGGTTGACCATATCAGGATCCAGATTCATCCATGTCTCCCAAGGAGCACATTTCTCCACTGGCTCAGTAGCTGGAGAAGCCATTTGCTCACTTTGTGGGTCCCTGAAAAGACTGACTGGGGGACTGCTGGAGCTTTTTAGAAGGGGTGTCACTGTGACAGTGGGTACAGTTATGCTCCTTTCTGGCCTAGGACTTGGGGTTGTAGGTTCCAGACTGGTCTGGGGCTTGATAAGAGGTTTTGTCTTTTCTACCTTCTGGCCCAGCAGCCAGACACACAAGGCCACTGCAGTTACTATCAGCAGGAAGACCACCATAGCCAAGGGTACAATGACCATTAGAGGATAACTATTCTCCCTGGGCTTGGTGGGTGCCCCAGGACTGGCACTGGTGGTGTCTGGTGGCCAAATGACCCTGGTTAGAGAAGTCTTGCCATCCAGAGTAGGCTCTTCACCGTGGTGTTGTCCCCGTGGATCTGCTTCCTGCTGCATGGTCTGGGTCAGCTTCCCCAGAGTTTCTGTCTTTGCTGTGGGTCCTGAGTAAACCACGGGCTTCTCTTGAGAATGATCTGAAGTCACAAGATTATCTGCAGTAGCCAATAAAGAAACATCAGGGGTAAAGGTTTGCAGACAGAGGGGATCAGGTGGCACTATAGTGAAGGGAAGATAACCTATTGCTGGCTGTACATGGTCTGCCTTGAGCAAGAAGGTGAAGGAGTCATTTAGCATATCGATGCCTGTTAGGTTGGCATATGGATGAAGCATCAACAACCCTTGGTCAATGTCACTCTGAGTGAAAAGAGTAGTATTTTCTATTGCCATGCCTTGGCCTACTCTTCGTACAAGTCTTCCATGAGCAGGGGGTGCTATTACTTCAAATTTGGGATCACTGTTAGTCCTATTAGCAAGCTCAGTAGCATCAAGGTCCTGTCTTTTCAGATGATAAATCTCTCTGTTGGTAACTGTCAGGTTTGACATAACGCACAGTAAAGGCTGCACTCTGATGTTCAGCATTTGTCCAGTCAAGTTGCTTTCTGATGTAAATAGTGAGAAATATAGCTGGTCCTCTGAGGCAGTGAGATTTGTCATATGGTAAAAGAGTCTCCCTGAATACAGATCTTCCTGTCCAAAGCTGATGACCATCTGGTTTTCAATGAGCAGATGCCCGTGTTGGAGGGGCCATGTCATCTTGTAAGTGATTTGGGGGCTTCTCCCATTGGTCGTTGCTGACAAGTGAATATTGGTGATGGGGACAGTTGTCTGGCCTTGTGGGAGAAGTAGGTCAGTGAGGTTCACAAGGGTGATGGAGATGGGGATGACATCCAGGTGGAAGAGCTTATAGAGTGGGCGGTGTTGGCCATCGGTCACACTAAAGTAAAACACACCCGAGGATGGGCTTCCATCTTGTACAAACCATACCTGAGAGTTATCAATGTCGGCTTGCGTGAAATGGTGAATAGGTATGTCTGGATGGTGAGCCATTGCCAAAAAGCCATTATTAGGATTACGAATGATCATATATCTGATCTCCTCTGGAGGGCTGTCTAGATCTTCCACTCTTAGGTTTTCAGGTCCTACAACCAACCTATTTCCCTGCAGAACTTTCAACCGAAGCCCTTTTGTCTTTATTTCTGGTGCCTGGTCATTAACAGGAGAGATAGTGATGTTAAACATCTCTTCAAGGAAGTCAGTCTCCGGCTTGGTGGTGGACTTGCTCTTTTGTTTTGGCCAAACGGCAAAAGTAAAATTATCAGCCAGTGATTCAGAGTCATCATGAAGGTATATGATTCCAAATTTATTAACTATATACTGGGAGAAATTGGGTTTTCCTTTGGTAATATTCCTCTCTCCAACAATAATGGTTCCATGATGGGGAAGAGATATAACCTGGAACCAGATTTCATAGGAAGATCGCTGAGATTTGGGCAACTTCAGTAAGAGGTTGGAAGCATCTAAATTAGATTGGTCAATGAGAACTTTGCCTCCCTCCTTGACAAAAGCTCCTGTAAAAGTGTAAATATAAAGAACAAAGTGGCATTTCATTAGAACTTTGGGATGACACCTATAAAGCTCTTTCTCTCTCAAATTTCCATATCCCAATGGATTACTATAAATGTCTTGGTTGTTCAAGGACCTGAATTAGCACTGTTACCCACCCACAGCATATAACAAATTATATTTTAAGTATACATATCCTAACTATTAAATCAATATTTCAGGCAAGAGCATTTCAAAATCCTGAGATTCATCCATAGAATGTTAATTTTTTAACTTACCTACTACTGGACTTTCTCTTGCCATGGAAACAGGTGCAGCTTTCAATATCCCTTTTCATGAAGGAACTTGACTTATTTGTTATTTTCATTTTCTATAGGTGGTTTTCAGTCATAGGCATGGTAAAGTCTCCAAGTGAAATTCTTTAGAGCTAACTAATTTTTCATCTTTCCCCCAACTACTACTATTAAAGCTTATGAGAGGAAAGCGAAGAGGCCCAGAGAAAGAGCACATATAAAGAAATAAATTTTATAACCAAATAAGTTTTATTTCAAAGGTTGATATCGTGGCATTGTTATGATATCGTGGCATTTCCAATTAATCAAGGAATACTTCCAAATTGTCCCTACTTTAATAATTATAGATAAGCCACTGACCCATGTCTTTTGGTGGCTTTACCTGTATTTGCAAGCAGACGACTCTGCCGACCTGGTTCTGTAACTTCATATGAAATAGTAATATGAAACTCCTCAGGGCTTAGAGCTGCTGGTGGAGAGGATGTCGTAAACGTGAAAGAGTCTTCTGCAGTCCAGCCAGTGTTTTCACGGTCCACATGTTGGTATAATATGAGCTGTTCACTGACCTGTATAGACAGGAAGAAAAATCAGCCCCTGGCTTCAGGGATAATATGAGGACAACACGTATCCTAACTGAAGAAGATACAAGTCTTTTCAGGATTTATTCTCATGCCCAAATTGTGCACATATCTATGCAAACACAACAACACTAACAATGTGGTAACTTAAGTTTGTCAAACTTCAGTGTTCTATTGCAAAAATAGTTTATTTATCAGAGAAAGAAGAGCACATTGATTTTGAGATGATGAAGGCTATGGTACGTATATTTTAGAAAGTATATAATGAACCTTCATTTGCCTGTCTGATAATTTTAAAAACTATCAACTTATAACCAATCCTATTTCATATAATACTCCTACCCACATTCTGCTCAATAGCTTATTTTGAAGCCAACCAAACACCATTTTATCTGTAAATGTTATAGTAAATACTGACAAAGATGGCTCTTTTTAAAAAAAGACTTCATTTTTATTTATTTATGAGAGACACAGAGAGAAAGGTGGAGACATAAACAGAGGGAGAAAAAATAAATAAATAAACAGAAGGAGAAGCAGGTCCCCTGTGGGGAGCCTGATGTGGGACTCTATCCCAGGACCCTGGGATTATGACCTAAACTGATGCTCAACCACTGAGCCACCTAGGTGCTCCAAAGATGGCTCTTTTAAAAATATAATCACAATATCATTATCACATATAAATATTATCAATAATTACTTAATATCATCAAATATCCTATTAGTGTTTAAGTATCTCCGATGACCTAGTATATGTGAGGGTTTTTTGTTTGTTTGTTTGTTTGTTTTTTTTTACGTAATTGCTTTGAGTCAGGATCTTTGGAAGTCCCCATGTCACATTTGTTTGATGCTTCTCATAGGTGTCTCTTAGTCTGTAGGTTCCCTTTCTCTAATTTTTTTCTTGTGATTTATTTATTGAAGAGATTGGGTCGTTTGTCTTATAGAGCGTCCTATATTCTAGATTTTCCTGCTTGAATCCCAATGGTATTGTTTAACATGTTCCTCTGTCATCTATATTTCCAATACACTAGGAGTTAAATCTAGAAATGTAATAAGAATCAGATTTAGGTTTTTGTTAAAAATGTTTTTCAGGTTATATTATATATTTCCTCTGCATCTCATTGCAAGGCTGCTCCTTTTTTGAAAATGTTAGGATTAATAGGTGAATTCGAGTTCTGCCACGTTGATCCATCTATTTTTAAGTTCCCCATCACCCTTATCATCTGATAGTTTTACAGAGTCATTGAGATGACTGCTTAAGTTCCTTATTTTTTGCAGTGGCAAGGCATTGATATTTTTAATCATTCCTTCTTCATTCTTTTCTGGAATCCTTCTACAAAGAAGAATTTTCCCTCATCAGCTATTTGGCTAAACTGAAGTACAGTGTATGCAGAAAAGACAGGATAAGTACTTGATTCTTTCTCTTTATACTAATTTTTGGGAAAATGAGTCCCCTGGCTCCATGATCCAAATATACCCATTGGTTTTTGTTTTGTTTGTTTTGGGATCATTATAAACTTATGAGTTTTAGCATATGATGTATTTCATTCCATTGCAGTTGTTATTCTCATTGATGTTCAAATTTCCCCATCTTGCTTAGGGTATTTTTCAAGATTTAATCTAAGTCCCTGATGTCTCTTGCCAATGAATGTCTTTTCTAGCTCAACTGAGGGAGATGGGCTTCACCCAGTCTTTTGTTGTCCAGATACCATATGAATAGTCCTTTCTCTAACAACAGTGATTGAAAGTTCTCAATCTCGAACCACAGAAGGGAAGGCTAGAGAAAAAAATATCTAATCTTTTCATTCCTGTAGGTCACATCTTTTTCTGACCTGCCTTCTATTATAGTATCTGAACTTACAGGTAGGTTTTTTCAAGGTATCTGTGTCCATGTCAAAAGTGCCTAGAATAAATTATCATATAATTTACAGAGCAGTTGAGTCTATTTCATCAGTCAGTATTTGGAAATATTGTATTAACTAACAAAATTTGGTGATGTATCACTCTGGCTCAATACTGGTACAATGGATAAGCCTAGAATCAGAGTTCTAGAAAAGCTTCTGATCTAGTGAGCTTTACAAAATATGAGCTTCCTATTTCCACAGTGTCCAAAAGCTGTTGGCAAGTTTTTTGTTCCTTTCCTATTCAAGGGTAAGGCAAGGAAATGCTGTCATTTGGGGATTTTAAATGGGAAGAAGAAAGTATCGTTTCTCAACATTTCTTCATAAAGAAGCAAGGTCATTCATAAAAAATTGGTTTCCCCAAAGATAATTTCTGGTACTGACTAGTAACTTGATGCTCTAGAAGTTTCTGGGAAATAAGTCAGTTTTATTTAGCAGTTATACTATTTCTATTCTCAGCTAAAGATTTACGATAAAATAGTCATCATAAATGTATTCCTCTTCCTAGAAATAAATAACTGTGCCATGGATTTTGGATTGGAGAATGGTTTCCAAAGGTTCCCATTCTGCTTAAGAGAGGCATAATATTATAAGACAAGAGACATCCAGCTTCTTAATATTAAAAGTAACATAGTCTACTGATTAAAAGGAAAAATTTTCTTGAAAGAGGCCAATCTTGTCCTTTGCTTCTTTGGGTTAAGTAAAAATTAACTTCTCTGAAAAATATAAGTTATTGGAATAATCTAAGGATCTTCTGATGTCTACAGGATGAATAGTAATTGTCTCAGGGAAAGAACGCTTCTCAAAGATGAGAACAGTTGAGATGAAAGTCAGAAATCTGAAGGAAATTAATTGGAAAGGAGCCCTGATCATAGCTGTGTACTTTGGAAGACTCCTGAAAGAGAGGTCTGCTATAAGTTCTGTTTTTGAAGTCATTACAAAAGTGAGAAATTGTGAATACCTTATTGACTCATTTTATGCTGGAGAGTGAGAGAATCAAATTAGATTCATCTTGAGTGTCTGAGCTTCAAGACTAAACAGTACATAATTGAAAGTGCTGAGCTAGAAGCAAAAGGGAATGAGTGTGTCTGTGGAATGTCAACTTGGCAGCCATGCCCTGAAGGAGCTTTGAGGTGAATAGAGTCTTTAATGTTTAAAGAAAGAGAGCTTTAAAAATCAGGTTCTAGGGGCACTTGGGTGGCTCCATCAGTTGAGCATTCTTTTTTTTTTTTTTTTTTTTTTTACATTTCAGCTCAGGTCTTAGAGTCATGAGTTTTAGCCCCAAGTGAGGCTCCATACTGGGCATGGAGCCTACTTGAAAAAAAAATAATAAAATAAGACCAGGTTCTAAGGTGTGTATGTGTGTGTGTGTGTGTGTGTGTGTGTGTGTGTGTGTTTGTATGCGTGGTGAGAGAGGGCTGATAAAGGGAGAACAAGACCAAGACTTTAAGGGAAAAAGTGTAAGGTAAACCTTAGAAGAAAAGGATCTCAGACAGGATTAGGAATTTTGTTACCTCAAATAGAAAGTGGCCCTAGGAACAATTTCCAACAGCTCTGCATATTTCTACTGTATTAAATATAGATAGATAAGCCACTTACTGGATACCTGGGCTCAGAGATTATGGAGAGAGGAGAGAAGAGGTTTTTATTTCCCATGGATTTAGATTAGCCCAGATATTTTCTCTTTTACAGATGGAGTCTTTTTGGAATGTCATTATATATTAAAATTTGGGGCCACCTGGGTGACTCAGTCAGTTAAGTGGCTGCCTTTGGCTCAGGTCATGATCTCAGAATCCTGGGATCAATTAAGCGCCACATTAGGCTCCCTGCTTAGCAGGGAGTCTGTTCTCCCTCTCACTCTGCCCCTCCCCTGCCTTGTGCTCTTTCTCGATCACTCTCTTAAATAAATAAATAAAATCTTTTTAAAAAGAAAATTAAATTTTGCAGAATTCCAACTAGTAAATGTGGAAGGAAAAACAGAATGAGAAAAATCACTATTTGTCAATCACACTGGTAATAAATATTTCACAGGTAAGAATCCTAAAATGATTGCTTACTTTAGTTGTGATGAAAAAACAGAGTAGTTAAATAGTTTCAAAGTATTCCCTCATAAAATACTTAATTGAGAAAAGGAAAATAGTAAGTTTGCCAAGGAGAAACCTGAAAGATAGCACCTGACTAAATGGAGAACATCATCAGTGACAGGGTGGAGTGAGCATCAGTGCTTCCTGACGTGAGGCTGGAGGAGAACTCAGCATCTATCATGTCAGACCTGCCAAAATGCACAACCTGAATAAGACTGTGATGAAATGTCCAATAAAACCAAGCTGAGGAACATTCTATAAATGACTGGCCTGTTCTCCTCAAAAAATGGCCATGTCACAAAAGTCACTGTGACTGCAGGATGCTTTCAGGTTAAAGCAGACCAATGACACCTGAAAACTAAATGCTGTTTTATACTGTGGATTTTTTTCTTTAGGATATTCTTCTAGAGGATATTCATTGAAACAACTTGTGAAATTTGAGAAAAGGTGTTTTATAAAAAGCCAGTTCTGTGGCTTTTATGCCAGTCATTTAATCTCCCTGACCCTCCATTTCTGCATTAAAATATAGAATAAATCTCACTTGTAAATATGCATTTAACCTAATTAGTCTTTTGCCATATTAATGTTCAAAACGGCATACCCTGGGCATTTCTAAGTCTTTTAGGAAAGCATCTAAGTACTCACTAATCAATTCCTTATTAGGACATCAGAGGATTCCAGGTAAGATGGAAGGCTATACTTATTTTTTAAAAGGATCATGGCATGAAAATATTAAGCAATTAGAAATTTCTAGAATATGCCTAATAAAATAAATCTTTTCTTATAAAACCAAGAAATAGTTAGGCTGGAATTTTGGCACATACTCTAGAAGCTTACTTCCAGTTGCTTTGTAAATAAGTATTAGTTCACCATCCTATACTTGACATTTCAATAAATATTTGTTTAATGAATAAGCTACTTAAAAAGTGCTTTACAAAATTTAATTATAAAGCATGTTTATATCATGAAGCTGTAGGAATAAGGCAATCCAAGACATTTCTTACCC